CCCCCCCCCCCCCCCCCCCCCCCCCCAGAGTGTTCCGCTTGATTTTGATCTAAACCATACTGCTTTCAGAAAACCACATAACTTAGATTTCCGCCTTCGGCTTTTTGAATGTCTGTACCTAGCCTTGGAGACTAACTGGTTCAGAAAGTCAAGCTTTTGTAAATGGCACCCAGCCCTACTTTCTGTTTGTCTTCAGCCTAGCATAGCTAACCATCTCTCTGCTTTTATTCTTGAGTGCTGTCAGACAGATGTCTTTTGAAGCATGCTCGCAAGGTCATCAGAACAAGATTCTCTTGCAGCAGATAGGGAACAAAGTCCAATATCTTGGACCTCTAGCAAAGATTGTCTGTTTCTAGTCTTTATCTGTAATGAGGGGGCTGTAAGTTGAGCACCACTACTGCCAGCAGCTGTCATAGCATGGCACAGGGAGAGCAGCAAGTAGGGAAGATGCTTTATGGTAAAGTGTTGTTTCTGTTGTACCAGAAAATGGTGAGGTTTGTTGAGTTATTGTGAGTTAGTTTGAGGCTAATACCAAGAAAGCTTTTATGTTTTGTGCATGAGCTGCACTCTTGTAGATAATTACATGGACTGCGGTGGTTGAGGTGGTACCACATTTACTCCCATATAGCGGAACCTTTCTCTAGTAATTGAGGTGTGTGATTTAAACAAGGAATCTGGGTTCACTCATGGAGGAGCAGAGCTGCCCAACTCTTTTGAAGCCAGGTGGACAGCTAGCAGTGCCTGTAGAATCACCAGAAGATCTACCTGGTTCAAGAAGAGGAGCTGGGCAGTTCAGCTGTAGCAGGATTGGGGCCTCAGTTGACTTGAAAAATGCTTCTGGCTGAGCTGGACTTCTTGTCCCCTCTTTTCAAGCCTAGTGGACAGCCAGCAGCACCTTCTGCATTAGCTGGGGGCCTGATCCTACTTGGCCTCTTCTCTTGAGCTGGGTGGGCTGTCAGCTAACTAATCAGATGCTGCTGGCTGCCTGCCTGACTTCAGTAGAGGAGCCAGGTAGTTTAACTTGGCTGGAAGTTGCTGCCAAGTCAGTTGAGGGTCAGATCTATTGGAGCCAAACTGCCCGTCCCCTCTTCTTGAACCTAGTGGGCAACCATCACCCACCATGTCCTGCAACAAGGGGGCTAACAGCAGCCGTAGGTTTTTGCTCTGCCCTTCCTGCAGCTACCTGTGGCTCTTTTCCCTACAAAAATACTTATCAGCACTTTCAAGGAAAAACTTCTTTGGTTTTCTTGTTTGTTGTTTTTGCTTGTTTATTCTGCCTTCTAAAAACAAGATGTGTATCTTACTTGGTGGCATATGGTATGTGAGAAAATACAGTATTTTAGGTTGTGTTGCCTGAGACTCTATTTAGCCTCGAGGGCAAGGATTGAGGACGCAAACCTGACATAGTCGGGAGTAAATGTCATAAGCAAAGCATAGGGAATTTTGTGCCTTGATCTCCTCATGTCACTGAGATGGCATGCTGCATCAGTTACTGGTTTTCAAGATTTGTTTTTTAATCCTCAAATTGTGCTGTGATAATCCAGACAGAGGGCACTAGAGGCACTAATGGCTGAGAGTAGGAAGAATGGGATTGTGATCTAGCCAGTTGGTGATAGTAGCACCTGTAAGAAATGCATCCTACTATGTGAGGGCCCAGTGTCGATGAAGAATGCTGTAGGACCCCTAGACTGCAGTCTCTTGACACCTTGGATGTGTCTCTGACTGTGGAGACAGTACCAGGGTGGTGTAAGCTCTTCAGAGTGATTCCCCCTGCCTATAATCAGCGTCTCAGTTTTGCTAGGATTAAGTTCAGCAAACTGTTCTCATTTCACATGCTAGTTTTGGCCAGATAGTGGGAAGATGGGTGATAATTGTGTAATATGCTGTGAAGGATAGTGTGTGCATGTACACACTAAGATGTATATTATGGTTAAATTTTGAATGTTTGAAGTTACTGTTTCACTTAGTGGCTGCATGTAAATATTTAGCAAGACCAAGAAGAGTGATATTGTAATATCTTGTGATATTCCAGAAGGGAGTGCTGTATGGAACTGTTTTATGCTTTTTTTACTTTTTAGTATACTTTATTGTCCCAGTTCGTAGTGAAGCTTTACCATATTTGTGAGGTGCAGCTCTTTTCTTTCACGAAGTAATTTCCCAGAATTATGCTTTAAAAGTAGTTCCTCTTATCCTACATAAGATGGACGCTAAACTTTTTTTTTTTTGCATTGCATTATTCTGTGAATGACTTGGAAGAGTACTAAAGCTTACAGGTCTTTGTATGCTCTTACATAAAAATCTTTTGTTTGTTTGTTTTTGCAGACTATGAGAAGACACCGAAATGAAGTGACAATTGAATTGCGGAAGGTAATTGGATCTACTTGTGTTTTATCAGCAGCTATTAGATTTTCTGTTTTGCCATTATTTAAAAAGATAGTGGTTTCTCTTTGTCATGACTTTGTCCTGAAAGGCAAAACTTTGTTTAGCATTGCTTTGTCAGAAAGAAACAAGTTAACGTTGCATTTTCCAATGTTGGTAAGCCATAAGTATGTGGTCATGGCTCTCATTGTATGTAACAGTGAATAAGCATGTTGGCTTGCTTTCTTTGTGGAAATGATCTGAAGTTAATTATTTAACATTGATATCAAATTGTCAGTCACTGGAGCTCTCATGGAAATAAGTGAATTACTCCTGTACAGAACTTAATTCCAGGCTATCTGCAAATTCATGTGAGTTCATAGTACGATTAAGGACTGTAATAAAGAGTTTTACTGATATCAGGTGCTTGCAAGCAAAAATGCTTACAGTGCTGTGCTGTCAGAGAGCATATCCAACCTGCATCTTTGACATGCTCTCCTGGCAAAGGCATAATTAACACAACAAGTTGGATTGGTAAGATTATAAGCAGGCAGCCTAGTATCCAGTGAAGCTCCCTATGGTAGCTGAATAATGCTTTGTGGGATATCACACTTCTCTCAGAGCATTGTGGGAAATTGATGTCAAGTTTCTCCATTACATTCCATACTCTGTTCTTTGTGCAAGTTTTCAGTTTCTCTATAACCTTGTTAACATGATGAGCAGGTTAGCAGCGTTTTTGCATCTGTTTGGTTGACAGAGCATCTGTTTGTTCTGTATCTGAAGAACCTCTGTTACCTCCATAGCAACTGGTCATGCAGTACTAAAAATAATACTGAGTATTTGAGTATTGAGTATTTGAGTATATTGAGCAAATGAAAATCAGTCAGTGCTGCAGTTATTCTCAATGCGTCATGCTTGTTCCACTCAGGTTGGATACTGTCTAAATTCCATATGACAACTGATTAGATTCTCAACCACGGTGATGTGATGAGACCTTTCTAAAAGTGCTGGTATTTTTCAGCACCTTTAGGTGTGCAAACACCTACACATCAATCACAGGATAGGCCCACATATTTCAAACAGAAGTCCATACTTTAGAAAACACTCTGACCTGTTGTGAAGAGTGAAAGCCAAGAAGTGGCACCTGGCTGTTGGTGCTTTGAGTCTAAAATGGTTGAGAACCATGGATCTAACTCATAACGCAAATACGGGGTGATCAGCAGTAGCTAGCAAACTTCTGAATGTAGAAGGTCATATTCTTAGAGTTGCATGCCAAATTTGCTCCAACCATCCAGTACAAACACCAAAAATGAGATCCGTTTTGACAGTGTAGAAGTGGGTGCCAGTTGTGCTGTTGGATTTTGCAATTCCGGAATTATTATTTTGTCAGTGAGCAACCAGTTTTGTGTGGGGCAAGCCATTAAATGGATGTTGCAGTTGATTGTGACAGCACAATGCAAAGGAAGTAGAAGATTTTGATGTAGTGGACTTCCTAAATGGGGGTGGGGAGAGATGTTAAAATAGAATACAATCTGGTTCTGACTTAACCATTCTTATTCTGGAGCACAAGTTGCTTCTGAATATGTAAAGAAAGGGGTAGTTTTACTTTGGTATTGCAACTATGAGTGGACACTTCAATAATGCTGCTGTTTGGTCAGAGAACATGCATCTTGTGGAGTACAGAATGTTCTGAAAGCTGTAACCACAGGCATTTTTTCTAGACTGGGCCCCAGTCACACTAAGCTTGCAGCCACAATTGTGATTCTTGGGTACCCAAGAATATCCTGCTTCCCTGCCTCATGAAGCCATACAGTTGGCACCTGGGCAGCAGAATGGAAGAAACTTAGTCTGAACAGGTGCAAGATGACTATCAATGCTCCATTGCTAGAAACTTCATCTCATTGAGTCAAAGATTACTACTGTTGCTGTTTTTGAAGCAAAGGGTAATAGAAAGGCATGAGACTATTGAACACAAAGACACAAGGGTAATTTCAAGAGTGTATCAATGTATGAGTGGTTGGAGTGGTCCATAGTTAGTTAGCTTTGTTTTGCTTTGTGAGTAAATTTTATTTTGCTTTTCAAGTTAGTTTTCTCCCTCCTTACTTTCTTAACGTGAGGTATGTGGGGATGTATACTAATTAGTATTTTGCAGGTCTTATAAAACTTTACATCAAAATATTCATAAGAACACTTTTACTGAGCAGTAATAAACACTAATATGTAAATTACGGACTAATGGAAGATACTAATTTGTTGTCTTCAGAACTGCATATGATCTTGCTCCACTTCCTCATGCCTCTTTCAGGCTTTCCTCAAGTGTGCCTTCCTTAGTGTCATATTGCCTTAAGGTATTCCCTCTTCAAAAGGGAGAGAGACTCCTGTTTACTAGTTCCTGTGTGCTTTATTCTTTATGGCATTGAATAAAAAGTTGTTTTTTACCCTTAAGAACCTCTGGATAGTAAGGCTGTCATGGCTACAAAGCATATCTGTTGCCCTTGTTCCAGTTCAGGGTTACAGCTAACCAAGTCTTGTTTAGCAAATAGTTTTCTCATTTGATGGGAGTGATAAGATTATTTATTCCCTTTCTATTTAGATTCCACAAGAGAATAGGGATGATTAATTAAGAAATTATTGAGGAACACCAGATGGTCACAAGAATACTCCTAACAGGCAACCATGGACTTGTTTGATACGGTCAGTGGCCATAGCTGTTCGGTGCGAGACAAACCTTGTGTATTTTCAGGTATCTGATGCAAGGTATAGACTATGCTAACATAAGGACTGGCATCCTTTTGCCCAATTCAACACAGTTCAATCCAGCACAGGAGTCAGTGGCAGAGAACTGCACCATGTTATCCATCCCTTGTACAGCACTCCCCTGTGCTGTGGAGTAGTCTGCTCTGCAGCATCTGTGCTTTTCTTGCTGTGGAGGGGTCAGGACTCTGCAGAAGGGAAGTGCAAATGTGGTAGAGCAGAGTGAATGCAGGCAGCTAGCTGTCAGTGGTGTGGGAGGAGGGCACTGTTATTCAAAAGGACTTGATTTCATGCCTAGAAGGTACATAGACAGTTTCAGGGAGCTGTATAGAACACACCAGCCACAGATTACTGTAGGGTAAGTGACCCTTGCTTTCAAACCCAGAATTCCTTTGCTGTACTGAAATAAGCAGTTACCATTAGAGGTGCACTGATACATCAGTCCCATATCGGATTGGCACTGATAGAAGAAAAATTGACAGTATTGGCATTTGGGTCTTTTTGGCTGATGTGGCCAGTAATGTTGCTGATAAATGCCTTTGTATGTGCACAGCCAGGAGCGCAGCCCGACAGCGTGGAGAGTAGCAGAGTCTGGCTGGTAAGTCTGTTGTGAGGGAAGGGGCTGGGGTGGGGGGACAAATCAAGGCTTCATTGGTGAGGGAGGGAATGGGGCTGGGGCTCAGGCAGGTGCTGTATGGGCAGCATGGGGTGCAGGACAGAGCTGCAAGTGGCCCATCTGGGGAGCGTGGGGAGGGGGGGCAGCTTTCGCTGCTGCATGCACCCCAGGAGGGCAAGCAGGGTGTGTGCCCCCAGATCTGTGTATGGGGCAAGGGCAGCTGCGGTGGTGCTGGGCTCTTTCTAGCAGGGGGCTGGCCTGGGCTGGGCTACGCTCAGAGCAGGTGATGGGTGGGGGGGGGCTACAGCAAATTTTGGGGTGGCTGTAGCTCTCCTTGCAGCACCATTGCTGTCCATCCCAAGTGGAGCCCAGTCAGTGCCCCACTGGGAACAGCTCTGCTTCACCCCAGCCCACAGCAGCAGCCTGCCCTCTCCCCCATGCAGATTTGGGGGCACATGCCCCCCATGTCCTCCTGGGGTGCATGCAGCAGCAGAAGCTGCCCCCATGCCTGCCGGATGAGCTGCTCGTGGCTCTGTCCTGCACCCTACCTCCAGCTGTGCAGCACCTGCCCCTGACACAGACCCACTCTTTCACTCACGGGGTCATTGATGTGTGCCCCACCATGCCCTTTTTCTCCCCGTCACTCCTTTCCCCACAACAAACTTATCAGCCAGACACTGCTCTCCATGCTGTCAGCTGCATATTGGAATCTGATTGGAATTGGCTGATACGGCTCTCTAAAAATCAACTAGTGCCCAAAAAATCTTGAAATTAAGGACACACTTTCCCTGCCTGGCCCCTTTCAAGGAGGTGTAAGCATTGTAATAAATCAGTTTTGTGAATTGAGCAGCACGCCATTTAAATAATTTATGGAGGAGTGCCTCGAATCTAAAATAGGCGAGACTTTGGCCCCAGGTCTAAGTGCCTACTGCCACTTTAAAATTTACTATTTTAGTGAACCTTCACAAATTGTAAACCCTATGGAGACCAATTGATGATAATCATGGTGCACTGCAACCATGTTCTGTCCTCTCCCAAGGCTGGTACTTGTTACTGAGGCTGCACAGAAGTCATGCCACTCAAAGTTGGTGCAGGAAACTTAGTATGTCAAGGAGGTGCCTTGATGAGGAAGAATACCATAAGAAGCCGGCCCAAATTTGAAAATTCAAGATGTAAATTGTTTCCTTTCCTCCCCCATCCATGTATTACTATCTCTGTACCTCAGGAACACATTTGCAGTAAAAGTATCTTGAAATAAATGGAGCACATTGAACAAGAGGCCCCAGTTAAGCAAGTTCAGTACAAAACATTCTTAATTTAGATTGTTTTCGAAACTCCAGTTTTAGTTAAATTAGGTTTTTTGATTCAGAAAGAATATAAATCATTATGCCCAAGAGAAATTTCAAAGATATTTTACTACTTTGTACATAATACAATAAAATGTACTTAGTCACCTGAAATGAAATGAAATCGGGTTTTCATCTGAAAATGAATGCTAACTCTTTATCCTTGTCATGTGCCTTCAGTTTAAGGCCCTGATTTCAGTAAAGCACAGTGCCTTAAACCAGGGCCTGAAGTAGAGTGACAGAAGGTTGAGGCCAAACACTGAATATGAGCTCCTTCAAAGTGTCGCTAGAGG